AGAGACGGCGGAGCAGCAACGGCAGACGCCCCGCCTCCTCTCTCTTCTCGCTTCTCCTATTGGCTCCTCCTCTCTCCGCCCAGCTCCTGCTCCTCCCGGAAATGGAGCGTCTTCCCTACGTTTTGTGGAGCGGCGTAAAGTTTCTGGGTCGCGATTGGTGTAGAGCGCTGTCACTCAAGCGCAGAAAGGGCTTCCTGGGCATGCGCAGGCGGGCAGGGGGAAGTCCTGCTTGCTGGAACCGGCGCAGAGGCGGCGGCTGCAGGAGCGGGCCCCGCGTTCTTAGACACCCCCGTCTGCTCCCCCTCGTCCGCCGCTGGCTGGGGGCGACCGGCCACAGCTGCAGCGGGCCCAGTGCGTGCGGCCTGGGTGAGTCCGGGCCCGGAAAGCTCAGGGGCCAGGCGACAGCGCCGAGGGAGAGGGCCGGCTCCGAACAATGCTGACTTAGGGGCCTGCGTCTGGCGGCCGTGTCCGCGGGGGCAGCGCTGGCGCTTCTCTTCTGGCCCCCCCGCCCCCGTTTCTAGGGCCTCCAGGTTCCAGGGGCGACGGGAAGGAAGAGAGTCCGCCCGTGGGGCTGCAGGGTGATATCTCCTCCTGTCCTGAATTCCGCGACCCTGGGCCGGCCCCTTGGCTTGGATCAGTTGTTGCTTCACATCCTCAGCATCAGCTCTTTGCTATCGCCCAGGCCTCGAGCTGTCGTTTTGTAGCTGAACGTCTTTGAATCTTATCCTTAGGAGCCTCGTCATACTCCCTGAACCTCCTAATTAAAAAATAGCGACCGCGTCCATTTATCTCGCACCTCAGGCCGCCTTTCTTTGCCGTGTGCGCCTGTCCTTTCCTAGAGCCCCCCTGTTGCCCCCACGCAGCCCCAGACCGCCTCCCTCGCGCGGCCTGGGCCCCGCCGCCTTCACTCGCTGCGCCCGCGCCTCCTGCCTCGTCGGCTGCTTTCTGCTGCTTTCGGGAGGAAGGAATTCCTCCCACGCGCTGCCATCGCGGTCCCTACCACCTCTGCACCTGTCCTTTGCCATTCCCATTCCTTTGCTGCAGAAGTAGCACGACCCAAAGTGCCAAAGCTTTTAAGGTAGAACGTGCAAGAATTTCTGATACAACTTTAATTATTTGGAACAGAATTACAGTAATTTATAGCTGCGCCGTCCAGTATGGTAGCCAGTAGCCGTATGTGCAATTGAAATAGGCTAGACCTATTGAGGTGTGCTGTGAATGTACAATACACACCAGATTTTGAAAACTTGGTACAAAAAGTAAAATATCGTGTTAATGTAAAATGACAGTATTTTAGATACATTGTTTAAATAGAATATTACCATTAATTCCACCTGTTTCTATTTTTTTTAGCATGACTGTTAGAAAATGCATCTAGGCTACACAGCAGGGTTGAATCTGCAGATGTGGAACCTACCACAGACACGTAGGGCCGACTATTTACAATAATTGGCATATTATTTTAATATCTCAGGAATTCAGAAATTAGATGTTAGTAATTACAGAGAAATTAGAGATAATTATTCTTTATTGTATATCTAAGTTGATTATTTATCTTTATAACTGAAGTAGGTCGTGAGACCTATTTTAATTTGACAATATTCCTGCTTTCTTGGTCTGCTTATCCCAAAGTTCTGAGTGCATTTTGAGATGTTACCTGAAAATATTGATATGTCTTAAAGTTGACTACCTTTGTAATATGAAAGATTTTTTAAAGAAATACAATACCGATAGTTACCAAGTTCCAGTAGGTCAATTTAGGAATTAAAGTTTTCAAAAACTTTTGATCTCTTTTGTATTTTCTGGACAGTTTGCGAACACTTCAAAGTCTTTTACCTTTTTGTAATTTTTTTTAGTGACAAAGATTCATATATTAGAAATGGGTATGGGCTTTTAAAAAATGAGTTATGAACGTATCAACATTTGTATTTCAGGTCTTTCTTAACGCCTTGAACATGAGCCCCACACAGTGGGACTTCCCAGTGGAATTATGTTGTCGGCCTATGGCCTTTGTTACTCTTACTGGCCTGGATGTAGTTTATAATGCTGTCCATCGAGCAGTCTGGGATGCTTTCTGTGCCAATCGGAGAGCTGATCGGGTACCAATTTCTTTCAAAGTGCTTCCAGGTGACCACGAGTATCCCAAATGTAGACCCAAGGTAATGACATTATGATTGCATGGGGGCTCCCCCTCGCGCGCGCGCGCGCGCGTGCGTGTGTCTTTTTTGTTCCTGTTGTCTGTACTGGAAAACCCCTGAGTTTATCAATTTTCCAGTTTTAGTGATGCATATAGAAAGCCCTGGGTGCCCGGGCCAGTGTGTTCAGTGGTTAGAGTGCTGGTCTGAGCACTGAAGTGTCTTAGGTTCAATTCCCAGTCAAGGGCACGTACCTGGGTTGCAGGTTCAGTGCTCGCCTGGTCAGGTCTTGTGCGGGAGGCAACCAATCGATGTGTCTCCCTCACATCAATGTTTCTCTGTCTCATCCTCCCTCCCACTCTCTCTAAAAAAACAAACAAACAAAAAAAAAAAACAATGGAAAAAATATCCTCTGGTGAGGATTAACAACAACAAAACCCAAAACCCTGGGCTTTATCTTGTCTGTAATACATTACAGGTATGTTTAATAGTAGTTATGTTTTTAATCCCAGAGGAATAATTATACTTATTAAACTTTTTACCCTATGAGCCTAGGTTTTCCTTTTTTCATTTGTTTAAAAAAACAAAAAAATCTAAGTTTCACATTCCCAGTTCATCATGACCAGCATCATTAGAGAATCCATGGTCTTTACAGTTTCACACACATTTTTTGAGCACTCGCTTTGTGTTAGGTACCTGGAGCTGGTGACAGAAATTTAAATGAGACATGCTCTCTGTCCTTGGGGAGTTCTACATAAACAGCTTATTCAGTATGGAATGAGGAAAGGTATCAAGTTCAAAACTGACTTTTAGGGTGGACATCATAGTAGAGACTCTGATTTACGTAGAAAAATAATTATAATGATATAGTATTAATTGCAGCTAATGTCAGTTTACTTAAGAAAGTTATATATATTGATTGACTTGTTATTTATTGTAATCATATGAGGTTGGTCTGAAAGTCAGTTAACAAGGCATATAGATCAAAATACCGTCCCCCCCCTTTTTTGTGTGCCCCAGAGTAGTATTTCTGACAGTCTGGCCTCTGAACCAAGTACATCATCATCATCTGGGTTCTTATTAAAAATGTAAATGCCAGGCCTCCTGAGTTAAAGTCTGGGAGGGTAGGACCTATGCCTGGTCACCAGCTTATTCTTTTGCTTATGTGTTTGAGAACCACACACTGGAGACACAGTTTCACATGCTGAGCCCTAAAAACTGAGCTCTCTGAAATTGTGCAAGTAACAGCACCCTTGGCCCTTACACGTTTTTAGTTTTATTTTTTAAAAAATATATCTTTATTGATTTCAGAGAGAGGAAAGGAGAGGGCGAGAGAGAGATAGAAACATCAATGATGAGAGAGTCATTGATTGGCTGCCTCCTGCAGGCCCCCTACTGGGAATTGAGCCTGCAACCAGGACATGTGCCTGACCAGGAATCGAACCCCGATCGCCTGGATCCTAGGTTGACGCTCAACCGCTGAGGCACGCCTGACTGGGCGGCCCTTACACATTTTTTAAAATATGGTGTTTGTGTCAGGAAAGGCCAGTGGCCCGGTACAACCCACCCCCTTTTCTACTCGATCCATTCTCCAGTTCACGAGCTTTTGTTTTCCTTTGCCCAGTTCTTTCCTGAGTCCCCAGGTTTTTTGTGTCAGGTTTCCTTGCTGTTCTGGTCATTCCTCACTTGAAGTAGACCTGAGACTAACATGAGCTGGAGTAGTCTGGGTCAGTGCGGGTGCTTTGGAAGTAATTTGAAATTTCAGCGGGATTCTCTAGGGCCAATTCATCTTCTGCACCCCTTCCCACGACTTGGCACTTAGTGCTCACCCCCAAGTGACCACTGTTCTGCTTCTGTGTTTAAGAATTGTCCTTCATTTTTTCTGTCATCCGCAAGTAAGGTGAAATGCCATCCTGCCAATATGCCCTGAAACAAATGAAGCCATGTTGGGTTTTAGATAATAGTTTGAGCAGCTTTTATGAAACAGAAACTGGGATGGCGAGGAATACAAGTCAAATTTACCTGGAAAAGGCTGTTTGCTTCCCGGGTATTTGAGAGCCTTGACATCATTAGAATCACTCAGCTTTGGCCGTTCTTTAAATGGAAAGTGTCGCAGCTCTGGGATTGAGATCTACCTCTACTGCTTTCTAGCTCTTATTTAATCTCTGTAAGCTGGGATTTCCTCATCTTATTAAAAATCGCTCATGTATATACCGAAGGGGTAAATACCCAGAAAGTGCCTGGGGCTCAGGAACAGGTGGTTTCTGCTGCTGTTGTCATCAAGTAACTCTTCAACTTCTGCCAATGTTTGCAGAGAACCTCCTATGAGTGGTACATTCCGAAGGGGATCTTGAAGACGGGCTGGATGAATAAGCACCTGAACCTGGTGCCGGCCCTGGTGGTTGTGTTCTATGAGCTGGACTGGGACGAGCCCCAGTGGAAGGAGAAGCAGTCCGAGTGCGCTACCAGAGTGGAGATAGTCAGGTCTGGTCGTCTCCGCTTGTCAGGTTGGGTCGTATGTGTCTGTGGTTTACTAACATTCATTGAAAGCAGCTGGGTGCTGTTTAGACTGCAGTGGTCACTTTGGGGATTGCTGACTTCCAGTGACACGTTCAGTTCCAAACAGGAAGCGTTAATGTTAATTTATATAATGCTAAGCAGTATGAAGAGATCAGAAGACGGATTGGTCTGAATTTCCAAATGCTGCTTTTTGTGTCTATAATATATTTTTTGATGATATAGTAATTTGCTCTTCAGTCTCATAATACTTTTGCTTTATTGACATTTGAGTTTCAGAACAGTTCTTTTGAATGACTACTCTGCAATGTATCACTATAAAGATATTGTATTATAACTTCTACGTGAAAGTATATGTTAAACTTTTGCTTTCAGAACAGACTTTGGTAAGGAGCAGAAGCTTGATGTGAGGTTATATTTTTGGAATGATTATATTTTCAAAATTTAAATCAGTGTGATATATATGTTTCTTTGTAAGGAGGAAAAGATTTCCTCTAATCTGGGGGTTTTTTAGTTGAAGTTTCTCTTTCTTCGAATTATCAAACTTGTATTTTATGTAAAGTCTTGTATTTTTTAAAAACAATTTAATTATTTAATGTTACAATTTTTCCATTGCAGGCAGAGTTTACAAGGCAGAAACACAAAAGTGGCAGTGGTTCTAATTCAGAAGAAAACCCCTTTGCCCCCAGGTATCAAAAAGTTAATAACGAATTAATTGCTTTATACTTCCAATTCTTATTACCAAGGAGCGTTAATGTTGAAATCTTTTATGCATTCAGTTATGCAAAAGACAGTGTGTTAACTTTAAAAAGTACATGCATAGTGCTTATATAAAAATTAAGAATATTCCAGAGTCAGATCTTAAGCCCTCCTCCCTGTTGCGTGTCCCCCGGTGTAGGCCTGTAGCAGCTGACAGAACAGTTATCACTTGATTTTTTTAAAATTGATTTTAGAGAGAGAGGAAGGGAGAGGGATAGAGAGAGAGAAACATCCGTGATAGAGAAACATCAGTCAGCTGCCTCCTGCACACCTCCTACAGGGGATGGAGCCTGCAACCTGGGCATGTGCCCTGACCGGGAATCGAACCCATGACTGGTTCATGGGTTGACACTCAACCACTGAACCACACAGGCCGGGCTATCTGTTTGTTTTTTTAAAAAATGTTGTTTACTTATCTGAAATCTATTTGAAATTATATTCCTCATGAAATATTTTTAGTTGTTAATTTGCAATAGGGCCAAGAAAAATGCAATAGGATTTCTAATTTCCTGTAAGAAAATGCCAAAGTTTCAAATGCTGCTTCTACCTTGTTAGACACTGAGAGGCCAAAATATTTTTTTGTTTCTGTGTTGAAACTTGTAGCGTGCTAAATCCACTTCCATGAATTATTGCTTCCATTTTTAGTTACGGTTTTTGGTTAGTTACTTGGCATGTGTGTTGGCATTACTTAGCCTATGTTGGCTCAGTAGAAAATTCCATAGTGTTTCCCTAACGGATATGTACTGTGTAACTTCTAAGAACCCACTGTGCTCTCAAGGGCCCCAGGATTCCTGCTGGCATGGTGACAGTGGTTTGGGTTTTTAGTCTTAATTGTGTTGTTCAGATGTGGGGAAGTGCTCATTGTGAAGAATGCATTAATTATTTTCTCTCTTTATCCTTGTGGGTCTTGTCAACAGGAGAGGATGTTATTGCTTCAGAAAGGGCTGCAGCTTTATGTAATGCATGTGAACTCTCAGGAAAGTCTTTGTTTGTACTGCCCCACACTGACCACCTTGTGGGTTACATTATAAGGTAAATGAAGGTCTTTTTTTTTTAATATGATTTATTGATGTCAGAGAGAGGAAGGGAGAGAGAAAGAGAGATTGAAACATCAGTGATGAGAGAGAGTCATTGATCGGCCACCTCCTGCACACTCCCTGCTGGGGATGGGGCTGCAACCAGGAGTGGAACCATTTGTCTCCTGGTTCATGGGTTGACAATCAGTGAGCCATGCCCGCCGGTAGAAGTGAAGGTCTTTGAAATATTTTCCTTTAGATTGTTGACTAGGCATTGCAAAATTGGTAGTTTTTAGAAATTTAAAAAAATATGTTAGTGGGGAAAAATTCAAATGGTACTGAGGATATAAGTTTTAAAAAAAGTCCCCTTTGTCAACTCCTTAACCTTCTCCAATTCCTTGAGGTACCACTATCAGCAGCTTATTACACTTGAACTTTGCCCAAAGGCCAAGAAGCCATCAGCTTCAGTTAATAATATTCTTTCAAACATTATACAGTTCAAAGTTAAAATCTAATTAAAATTATTTTCATAGTTAAAAAAAATTTTATACTGTAGCTTTGTAAATAGAAAATATGAATCTCAGAGGCCCTGCCCGGGGTAGCTCAGTTGGTCAGAGTGTTGTCCTGCCATGGGAAGGTTGCCAGTTTGCTCTGTCAGGGCAACCAATGAATGAGTAAATAAGTACAACAACCAATCTGTGTTTCTCTCTCCCCTTCCACGCTCTCTAGAATCAATCAATTTGTTAAAAAAAAATTAAAGAGAAAGTATTAACCTAGAAAGTCCAATTTAAAATTTAATATCTAATTTAAAATTTTTTATTTAGTTATTTTTTTTTCTTTACATACTTCCCTTAGATGTGTTTAAACTCTTCGAATACAACTTCAGAGTTCTGTTTTGTTAGGAGGAAAACCCCTGAAGTTCCACCTTTGCCTGCCTCTGAGTTGGGCTTTCTCTTGAGCCCGAGGCACACACTTTGGAGATGTACCGGCTCACAGAGGGAGCTTAGTTATTTAACCATCTCCAGGCGCGTTTTCTCTGTTCCTGTGTAATTGCAAAGTCGAGGAGAGAAACAGACTTAAATCATGCCAGTGTTACTTCGCCTCTTGGCTAGTTCTCATTTTCGGTCCCTTTCCCATTAGTTTTGTTATCCTTTAGACCCTAAATATTAAAATCATAAAAAATGGTCAAATCTATTGGAGTGTTGGATATCTGTTTCTTTTAGACTTCCCATGAAATTATTAAACAATGGTGGAAGTCATTTTAGAGGTTACCTAATTTTTACAAGTTACAAAGTTATTTTTATCACTTACTTTTTGGATTGTAAAAAAATAGCTTTCCAGGAGTTTTATATTTAGATTTTTTTTTTTTAAATCTGGAAATTCAGATTTTGCTTCACTTTTTATTTTAATCATGAGGTAAACTAGATAGTATCAGAATGTTACGTTTGTTTCTTACAAATATGATTGTTAAATAGTTTTATTTAAAATAACTTCAGTGTTTGAGTGTTGTTTTATCATTATTTTTAAACAGATTAGAAAACGCCTTTTATGAACATGCACAGACCTATTACTACACAGAGATCAGAAGAGTGAAATCTCACAAAGAGTTTTTGAATAAGACAACTCACCAGGTGCGTGCCTTTCCTGAGGAGGGACCACGAGTGTCCCAGAGCAGGCTAGTTTGAGGGAGCCAGTAAACGTCTCTAATACTTCTGATGTTTTAAATGGGCTTTGGTACTTCTAAAGTTTTTTTAAAAGCTAACTAGATTTTGTATCCGTTGCCCTTAAAGTTCTTAAATACAGATTTTTATAGCTTTCTTAACTCTACTTATTTGTTGGAATAGTTCTTGAACATTAATTTTGAATGTTTTCCTTATACTTTTGTGTCTCCTCTTAATAAAAGTTATTAAAATTTTTATATGTTTTAAGAGAATATGTGTAATGATATCTTTTTCTATTCTTTTTTCAGCTTTTATTTGTTAGACATCAGTTCAAAATAGCTTTCTTCAGTGAGTTGAAACAAGATACACAAAACGCGCTGAAGTAAGTTTTGAACAGTTGTCAAACAAAATTTTTCTTATTTTTAAATTAACAATAATGTATTAATTGTCAATTTCTGAATCACAACCAAGTTAATTTTAAAATGTTTATGTTGATTTAGATTCAGGTGTGTAGTATTTACTTTGTTTGCCGAGTGGTGAGTGGGATATAATAGTTTTAGATTTAAAAAAAATTCTATTGGAAGTAAATGTCATAGTGTTATAGGCTTTCTGGTGTACTTCCATTAAATGTCATAACCTAAAGAAATATAATATTAAAATTTTCCCACTTTCTACTTCTTAGTTGTATATTCACTAAAGTGCTGCTTGTGTTAAGACTGATTTCCAAAGTGAAATGTGCACTGAACATTATCTAAATCAGACTATGAATTCAAGGTGTGTAGTGCATTCAGTTCCACTATGATTTTGTTTATTAGTTTTTTAATTGATTTTAGAGAGAGGAAGGAAGGAAGGGAGAGAGAGGGAGGAGGAAACTTTGATGTGAGAGAGAAACATCAGTAGGTAACCTCCCGATCAAGACCCAGCCGGGGACCAAACCTACAACCTAGGTTTATGCCCTGACCTGGAATCTAATCCACCGCCTTTTGACATTCCAGTCAGCTGAGCCACACCGGCCAGGGCATGATTTTATTTTTAATTAAACTTGTTTTTTGGTTTATAATGCCCGTCAGTAGCATCATTGTTCATTCGGAGGCTCTGCTTAGAGCTTTGATGTGTAGCTGCCGATGTCTTGGCAGTGGTTAAGCATTTTATTCCTTTGCCGCAGTTTAATTAAACGTGGTCTCTTTCTGGCTTTGGCAGTGGCAGTGTAACAAAGGGATAAAAAACAGCGTTATATCCTAACATTGAGGACAGGCTAAGTGTACAGGGAGAAAAACAGAGAAATAAATAAAAATATATCTGTTATTCAAAGGAATAGTGCAGAAACCTGTGTGTGTGTGTGATTATTGAGGTGCTAGGCACCAGATTGTGTTCTCTAAATCTCAACGACTTCAGATCATTATAGCTGGCTTTAATGTAGTTCATTTTTAATCCATGGTATTAGTTAACACCTTTAATTTTAGTTCTGTTTAAAACCAATTTTGGAAAAAAAAATTCACGTGGTGAAATTAGGAGCAGTTTTCTTTGGAGAAGACTGTTGAGATTTCTTCCTTACCTTCCATGTTCAGGGTAGGCCTCTGTCTGCCAGGCTCTTCTTTCTCCTTTCTCCCCTTTTCTGTCCCAGCACCAGCCACCCTAAGGACATTTCCTGCTCCAGGCTGTACCCAAGACCAGTGCTGTCCACTTACCTTGTAGAGATGCTCGGGTTTAAAAGCTGTGGACCTCTGTTGTCTTGCTAGTACCTTCTTTCCTAATACAGTGTCTATTTGTTTGAGAAGTTTATGATGACACTTTTAAGAATATCAATTTTTAAATGTAATTCTGGACAATTGTCTACTTTCGTTTTCAACTTATTTTTTATCAGTTATTGACAGATGTTAATGACAGGACAGTGTGCCAGTGATGGTACTGTTCTTAGTGAAAAGTTGTTGAATCTTCTCGCACATTATTAATCAATATATCACTTTGCAGGAAATCAGAGGCTAATACATATATGTTATTGACTGTTGAGTGCTGAGAAATGTTGACTCAACATTGGCTCTGTTACTCTTAATAATTTGATTCTTAGGAATCTTTTCTTAAAATTAACTTATGTCATAATTAACTACCTTCCTTATGTTTCTGTTAGGAATTATAGGACTGCCTATAATCTTGTACATGAATTGAGAGCTCATGAAACTAACATTCTGGAAATTAAGACTATGGCAGGATTTATCAACTATAAGGTAATAGTTCTAATTCCAAATAAAGAAAATTTATCTTTAAGTATCAGATTATCTTTTTAAAATTTGAAAACCAAAATTAGTTACTTGTTCTGAAAAGTATTTGATTAACTATGGTCTTCTTTTATGTCCTTTATCTCAAGGATGCCTGGTGCTTAGCAGCCTAATTGCAGTGCCTTGGCTTTGAGTTTATGAGTGTCAGTGTTCTCACTTGGGGCAGTTTTACTTTTGTTAAACTCCTCTACAGGGTCTTTTGTTTGTTTTTAAGTGGGAGCAGGAAGGAGGGGGAAGAAAGCTGCCTATATTATTGAATTTTTAAAGGTTTAATCTATTAGAACTATGTAAGGCTTTCTTGCTTTAATGGCACAGCCATAGGAAAGGTGTATCTATTCACTTTAGTGGAAACTTTTATACATATTATTTATGCATTTTAAGATTATACATGGAAGAAATAGATGCTCCCAGAAGGCAAGTGAGGGCCGTTTGTTTTGCTTTTAATCTTTCCACACTCAGTAATTTTAAGATGGCTGGCACTGGATTGGTGATGTGAGGGCAGATGGATACTTTAATTCATTATTTCTGTGTTAATTGGTTCAGCTTCTGTAGAGAATATTTTTGCAATGACTTTACAAATTTAATGTGGATGTCCCCTTTAATTTAGCAATTCCATTTCAGGAAATTGATATGTACTGAGAGTTGCAAATCACACAGGTGAGAATATTTATTGCATCCTGTAATAGGAAAATATTGGAATCAACCCAGAAATAAGTGACTGGTTAATATAAATTATAACTCCAAACAATGGACTATTATATAACTATTAGGAATGAGACAGCCCCATATGTTGATATGGAATGAGATCCAAGATATGTATATTTTTAGGTGAAAAAGTAAGGCACAGAGCAGCATATTTAGTGAGATGCTATTTGTGTAAAGAGAGAGTTTATGTATAAACGCACACACTTTTCTGTGCACAGAATATATCACAAAACATATTCTGGGAGCTGGTTGCCTGTGGAAAGGGGGTTGGATGGCTGAGGGACAGGGACAGGTGAGAGGCTTAACTTTTCAAGTGTTCCTTTGTCCCTAAAATAATAAGATTAAAACTGGTATAAGTATATGGAAATAAGTTTAGTCTTTGTTTCTTTGTTTTCCCTTTTACCCTACATATGCATAGATTATTACTGTTTCGAAATGGAATCCCCAACCCGAAGCTGTCAAAAACTTTTATAGTCCTTGTTTGATATGGAAGCTACTGTGCTCTATTGTGCTGCAGAGAATCCTTGGCTTTCTGATAATTCTAAAACTGAAAGTTAACCTGTCCTTTCTTAGTTACCTGCTGGAGATATTTTATTTTTGCCCATCTTTATGTTCTTCATTGGGTATATATTTTTGTGATATTTTTATACTATTAAAAGTATAAAAGGTATAGAAAAAGTCTAAGGTATAGAATAGACTCAGTACAATGCTGAGTAACTTTATTTCATTTATCAAAGGGTCATAACCTGGTTTTAGTACAACCATTGTCATAAAGAAAATCAGTTCTATCTCGGAGAACTTCAGAGAAGGCAGCTCCATAATCTTTGTAAAATTTGTCTCAAAGTTGACACATTTTTAAATGAATATGTCTTTGACTTTGATTTTCTTCTTTCTGTTGGGGTTGGTTTTACATTTTGCAGATCTGTAGGTTGTGTTTTCAGCACAACACCCCATTGGATGCCATTGCTCAGTTCCGAAAACACATCGACTTGTGTAAGAAAAAAATCGGAAGTGCGGAGTTGTCTTTTGAGCATGCTGCATGGATGTCTAAACAGTATGTTTAAGTTGTAATTTTAGAATTTTTTTTTTTTAAACATACTTGGGATTTGGAGGGATAGAATTAGCATGGACTTTTGTTCTAAACTGGACTCAGATTGTTGTTAGTAAGTAGGTTTTTAATCTTGTCTAAATGTGTTTCCAGCAATAGTAAATATTAATTCATACAGTTCCTTAATGGAAATCAGTTAATTCATGGAAATCTTTCATTCAACGTATATTGAGGGTCTGCCATGTGTCTAGGTACTGAGAATATAGCCGTGAACAAAGCAAAATCCTAACTAACATGGAAATTCCTTTTTGAGACTGATGTTTAAAAATTGCTCCTAGAGGCCTGGATGCATTTGAGTCATGGCAACCATGTTGACATCTAGTTTGGGAGTATATTTATAAAGGCTTGCTCAGAACAGTTGACTTAGATACAGAATCTATGTGTTACCTACAATTAATTAGTGTGTATTAGTATTTATACAAGAGATACCCATTAATTAGTTCATCAGTAGCATTATCTTAATACAGTCTGCTGAGACTGTGGTTTCAGTATGAATAATTATAGAAGTAAGCTTTTCCTTTTCTTTTTCATTCCTTTTTATTTCTTGATTTTTTTTCTTTTCTTTAAGATTCCAGGCCTTTGGAGATTTATTTGATGAAGCTATTAAGTTAGGGTTGACAGCTATTCAAACTCAGAATCCTGGTTTCTATTACCAGCAGGCAGCGTACTATGCCCAGGAGCGGAAACAGCTCGCAAAGTCCCTCTGTAACCATGAAGTAAGTTACTGACTCCCTTGTGGTCTGGCGTTTAGGACGCTGATTCCTCTTCTCTCGAAGGAAGAGAAAACTAGCTGGTGTGGGTAATTTTTTCCTAGCCTTTGAATATAATCAGCTTTTTATATTTTGGGGATTATAATTATTTTCAGTTTTAACCTGTACTCCATTTCACCTGTGAATTAAAGCACAAGTTTTTCTTTGAAGAAGTGACTTATTGTCAATAAGCTAGTGATTTAGACAAGAGAAAATTACTTTAAAGTAAAAGCCACACTGTAAGTCCAGTGTTTTGTTTTTGTGCTCACTGCTGTAGGAGTTTGAAGGACACGTTTTTATTTTGACCCACCAGAGAGGATAACTCTGGACTTCTTTCTTTTCCTGGGGTTTTCCTCTATGGAAAACTCTTCAGAATCTGTTTGAGACATAATGTTAATTACATCGTTTTTTAAACTGGACGTTTCATTTTACTTTTCTCTTGGATGATTATATTTAGCTACCAGTTTCCCCATAAGCACCTTTGAAATAAGAACATGGTGACTTGACAACATTCATGTTGTTAAGTCATTTTGATTTTACTTAAAATGTGCAGTTTTCTTCTCTGAAGATAGGTAAATATTGTCAACAGTATAACTTAAAAAGCTTTTCCAAATGCAGTTTGCATGTTAGTACTTTAAATGCATGATTTTTTTTCTGAAATCATGATATAACTATTTTCCTACCATGTTATTTGTATATGATTTGTAACTCTATTGCGTGGTTTATATTTTAAAAGTTTGGTCTATTGTATTTTGAACACAGTATTTTTAAAGGAAATTGGTTAAAACTAGGTTTTATAAGACATGAGGAAATGGATATTAACAAATGTCATTGGCTGGAATGTAAAATAATATTTCTGTCAAATAATAATTTGAGGAGCCTCAAGATCATGCATATCTTTTGACCCAGAATTTAATTTTCAGGCAGCCTAAAGCAGAGAAATCCCAAGAGATAAGTACTAAGATTTATTTATAAGTTGTTCTGACTGATTTATTAATTGTAGTGTAAAATAGAAATAAGATGAATAACTATGGGGAGATTTTTTAAAATGTGGAACAGCAGGCAGCCATGAGAAATAATGTTTTAGAAGACTATGTAATGATGTGTGAAATGTACAAAATAGATATAAATGAAAAAAGCAAGGGTGAAAAATTATTCCAGTTGATAAATGTTTACATGCAAACTCTGGAAGAATCAGGTATACATTGTTAACAGTGGCAGTAGGTTTACAGGTAAATTAAATTTTTATCTTTTTGCTTTTGGATGTTTTCTGCAATTTTCAACAATGTTCTTATATACATTTTAGTTTCAGAGGAGAAAAGTTATAAAGAAAAATAAAGCAGTATAAATTTGTAAATTCTGGTGCCCAAAGTATCCCTTCTCTACCAATACCAGGACTTAAGCACAAGTGAGAATCAAGGAAAATGGTGTCTTTTTAAAACTACTTATAAAATTATTTTCATTTTCACAGAAAGCACTTACATATATGGAATAAACATCAATGATAACATAATATTTTTTACTCGTTTGTTATAGCAAAAGTAAAAAAAAGATGTGATAGCTACAGTAAGTTTTGCTTAATGTTCGTTGTTGGTAGTTTCTGCGACTTTAAGTGAAATGATTGATGTGTAACGCAGCGAGTTCTGCCACAGGCGATTGACATTCAACAAGTTAAGTCCCTACGGCTCTTCATCACTCGAATGTTATTCGAGGACTTGCTGTACCATGAACTCACTTGTCAGAATGAGGCTGATTTATTCAGTTTAATTTCTTTGAGACTGCCAGGACATTGAAGGAAATACTTTTGGCTTAATTTTTGTGAAAATTTAATTTATTCACGACTTTGATAATTTGAATATGTTTGGTATTTGTATTATGAACATTTTTTTATTCTATCAAAAGTTGAGGGAGAGTTGGTTTGTGACGGTCACACAGACTCTTATTTAGGCTTGTGTTTTAATTCACAGGCTTCGGTAACATATCCTAGTCCTGATCCCTTGGAAACACAGACAGGCACTCTCGACTTTTATGGACAAAGACCATGGCGACAAGGAGTGCTAAGTAAGTAGTATTTCCCTCCTCCCTCTTCTCTCGGCCTCAGAAGGCCAAGATTGCTATCGTAATGTTTCCACTGGCTGCATTAGGCGTGACAAATTATGTTGAGGTGAACACTTTTAAAAAGATTTTCAGTTTTTTAGTTTTTAGGATGTTTTGTTCATATCACTGCAACTCAGAATAACAAAATTAAAGATGTGGATACAATTAAAATGTTCTGGACATCTGTTGTCTTTACTTTAATAACTTATTTGACATTTTAAGACAGCACTGGTATCAACTTAAAAATAATTTCCTGCATCTCTTTTGTGTTTTATGTATACTTAATTTAATTTAAGCAATTTCTGTGGCAAACATTGAGGATTTATTTACTGTAATCTCCAGGAAGTACATTCTGTGTAGAGAGTAATGTTGGTGTCATCATTCGGGTGGGTGATTCCACTTGGCAAAAGAATATTGAGCTCAGTGATGTTCTCTCTAAAACACGTCACAGAGAAGTTACCGCACTAATAAAGCTGCCTCTTATAGCCTTTAACATTCTAGAATGTCTAAGAATTTTAGAGACATTATATTGAAGTACAGGATTCAAGGAGTGCACACACCCATTGTTTATGTGAAGGATTTATGTTAAATGAACTATCTAAAATGGGTTGCGTCTTATCTGATATAGGCTTTGATCTTTCTGATCCTGAGAAAGAGAAGGTGGGAATCCTTGCCATTCAGCTGAAAGAGAGAAATGTTGTTCACTCTGTAAGTTTTTCCCCAGTTTCACCTATTAGAGTATTCAAGGAAAACATAAGGTTGTTTTTATCAGAGCATTTCACACTTTATCTTTTCTAACAGGAAATAATAATAACTCTCCTGAGCAACGCTGTTGCACAATTTAAGAAGTATAAGTGTCCAAGAATGAAAAGTCATCTAAGTATGTATCCATAACATACCATAGTTTTGTCAAGTTTGAGTGATTTTAAATTATGTACATCAAATCTTTCTTCCTTTATAGTGGTTCAGATGGGAGAGGAATATTACTATGCAAAGGATTATACCAAAGCTTTGAAGTGAGTCCTGTTCACTGTTTACTTTTACAAGTATTCTGATTACCTTACAGTGAAATTAGAAATTTGTATCGAAGGGTTTATTATTTCCATATTTATTTCTACTTCTGTTAAACTCTATTCCTGTAATATTTTTTCAAGTACTGTCTCCTAGTTCAATCATTTAGCTGACTAGAGAACACCTGTTAACAGTTTCAGTAAGATTTTCTAAGGTTGAGGCAGTTTATTTTCTCCCGGGACTCTCCACACCCTGTCTTAGGAAGCCATCCCAGTCTGTCTTGTCCCGTATCTTCCAGGCTGCTGGATTATGTGATGTGTGATTACCGGAGTGAAGGGTGGTGGACTCTGCTCACATCTATATTGACCACAGCTCTCAAGTGTTCCTACCTCATGGCCCAGTTAAAGGATTACATTACTTATTCCCTGGAACTCCTTGGAAGAGGTAATTTGTTCTTTCAGTAAAATTCTGAATTTTTAAGATTATTTAGCAACTTGAAGCTTCTTAAAGTTGGGAGAACAGTTGTTTCAAATACTCGGTCTTGCTTTTGCTGTGCAGGTCCCTTCGTGAAGTGAAGGGATTCACACCTTTCATGCAACTTATAACAGTTTAGGGTCTCATAGTTGAGAAAAACAAAATTCTTCTGCCTTTTTGAAACATAGTATAAAACAATTTTTCATATAGACTTCAAATGCAAGTATACAAAGTGTTGGGTTAACTTCTAGAAAGCTGTGCTGTCAGTTTTCTGGAATTGTGCTTGGCAGAGATGTTTATAATATTTTAAATGGGGGTAGACTTACTTGCCTGTCTTACAGTTGTAGTTTTTCCCCCTCTTCCTTCATATTAGCTTCAACTCTGAAAGATGACCAGAAATCTCGGATAGAAAAGAACCTCATAAATGTTTTAATGGTAGGTGGGAATTCTTTATGTAAAATAAGTTCTAGGAATATGTATACCTAGATCTGAATCTCTGCGTTTGTATATTTTATAACTGGCTGAACAACTGTTTGACTCTGTGTTGGTGCAGAATGAAAGTCCTGAGCCTGAGCCTGACTGTGATAGCGTAGCCGTGAAAACTGCTCAGAAGTTGTGGGCAGACCGGATTTCCCTGGCCGGCAGCAACGTCTTCACAATAGGAGTACAGGACTTCGTGCCATTTGGTGGGTAGCCAACATCAGCGTATTATGTCAGAGAAATCACCCTTATTTCTACAGAGTGAGTAGGTGCAGAATAATAATTATAAAAGTCAAAGGAAGAATTTTCAAAGTGTAGTCATTTTATAAATAAACTGATTTCTTTTTATTTTCCGCTGTTGATCAAAATTTTAAATAGTGTGTATGTCTTGTATTTACTTTGTTCATTTGTTATTTGTTCAGGTGTTATTTGAAACACATTTCAAAAGATTGCTATTTAAAAGATAAGTGCTTTACTGTCTAGGGCAGGTATTTTGAAATAAATTAAAAGTAACAAAACGGTTCTTTTCCCTTTAAAATTAGATGTCAGTTATATTTCAGGAACAACTATGTTTTTAAAATTAAAGATGGTTTTGGAACTGTAGTTTATTTAAACCTGATTTGTTTTAAAAAGTGAGCTCCCTTTGTGTCTGTTGAGTGCTTCCCTGCAGCAGTCGGTGAGAACTTCCGGTGTAGGTGGGTCCTTTCTGCAGAGCAGCTGGACCGGAGAGTCATGTGTGAGTGTCTGGAGTGTGCTGGTGTCTGACTCAGCCCTTTGTTTTATTCCTAGTACAATGCAAAGCCAAGTTCCACGCCCCGAGTTTCCACGTTGATGTTCCTGTGCAGTTTGATATTTATCTTAAGGCTGATTGTCCGCATCCCATTAGGTTCTCTAAGCTCTGTGTCAGCTTTAATAATCAGGTAATGCTACCTTTTCATGTGTCTTTACTGTGTATAACTTATTGTAGTTTCTGTTAAATTAGCTAAAATGAGCTTAGTAAATTTTAGGTCTTAATGATTTTGTAGTAACAAAAATTAGGGTATATATGTATAGTTCTCAACCTCTGGATCAGTAATTCAAATTTTACATTTTTCCTACTATTAATTTTTGTTTTCCACTCCATGCTTATGAAGTCTAAGAACTTTGTCTATACGTTTTTATATGTAACTTGAATTCCAAATAAGATATATTCAGAATGAATATAGTTTTCAAAATCATTTGTTTTACAATCTAGCACTGATACTAATTTTAAATTATTAACCTATTTTATGTTTGATGTTAAAGAAATTGAGGTGGGTAGATACAAGTGAGGAGTAAATATGTGCATCTGTGCTGCGCCACCTCCAGTCCCCAGAGCTCACACCGCCAACTTCTTGAACGGCCTAGACATTTTCAGTGCACACATAGATAAGCAACTTTTTTCTGCATAATTGGGATCATGCTATATTTCCTATATTTGAACACTTTCATAGTGTGATATAGTCTAATCAAGTACTCAGTTATGTTCCAACTATTTCAATTATAAGGTCACTTAATAGATAATTACCTCTGGTCACCCAGAAAGTATATTGAGCCTTTAACCAGCAAGCAAGTATCAAGAGCTGTAATATTCTTAATATCTTGGTGAACCTGAAACGTTTGAGAATTTTAAAGCAAAAGCTTTAAGAAGTTTTATTCCAGTAGCAAAATAGAGGGAAAGAAATATTACGGAAACCAGCCAGAGGCTACTTTTATGAATGCAGGAATAAAGGACACCTCCTCTTACGTACGTGACCTTTTGTTTGAGGATTTGGATAGGATGCTAGTGGTGGGAAGTAAAGGGATTCGAGTGACATTTAAATAAGGCTGGGTTCCTGAGTGTGTACAGGACAAAAAAGGGGATGGGCTGAATAAAGGACAGGCCTTCTTTAAAAGGCCAAAACCTATTTTACTTTACTTCTTATTGACATAGGACATATAACATTGTATAAGTTTAAAGTGTACAACATGGTGATTGGTGCCCATACATGTTACAAAATGATGCCCACAGTAGGGTCAGGTAACACATGCATCCCCTCACAGTCATCTCGCGTGTGTGGTGAGAACACAGCAGCTGTCAGTGACATATACAGTGTTGTTCATTTTAGTCGCCGTGCTGTACATGAGATCCCCAGAACTTCTCCATCTATAAGTGGGAGTTTGCGCTCTTTGAGCAGCATCTCCCACTTCCCCCACCTCTTGGTGACGACCATCCTGCTCTGTGAGTCCTGTTTCCATGGTTACAGATTTCAGATACAAGTGAGACCTGGCGCTATCAGGGTGGGAACTTTTGCATGTGCTGCTTCACCCGCTTCACTTGGCTTCCCTCCTCTCTCTATTGGCTCCTTTCCTCTTGTTTTATCGCCTCTGAGCCTCACTTCCTCAAGGACACCTCCCTGACCCACATGACCCACTGACCTGCCAGGCTCCAAAGCCCTTCACTTCACAGTCCTTGTCCCAGCTGCGGTTTCACTATGTGGGGGATTATTTGGTAAATACTTGTTTTCTTACTAGAAGGTAAACTCCACGAGGACAGGAAATTTTTGTTCACCGTGAAATATCCTAAATCTGGAGTTAGGGTTGGTATATAGACTCTTACTTCACTTTGCTCATATCCTACTATTGTATTTTTTTCCTTTTTTAAACAATCATACACTGCTTCTAAAATTAAAAACTAATAAAAGTATTAAAATGTAAAACTATTAATTTTAGAGTTAGATCATGTTCTGAATATGTGTTATTTGAAATTCAGGATACAAATTACAAAAAAAATAGTTCTTAGGTTTCACAAGCATGGAATAGAAATGAAAATTAAAGGGAAAGTATAAAAGTAACTCTAAGAATTTTCTCTGAAGGTAATCTATCTGCTGGGGTAGAAGGTAGCTCCTGGATGGGAGTGGTGAATCCATAGGTTTGTACAGGGCAGGTGTTTTTTAAATATATCTTGATTGATTTCAGAGAGAGAGGAAAGGAGATGGGGAGAGAGATAGAAACACCGGTGATGAGAGAGAGTCACTGATCGGCTGCCTCCTGCACGCCCTACTGGGGACTGAGCCTGCAACCTGGGCCTGTGCCCTGACCGGGAATCGAACCACGATCTCCTGGATCCTAGGTCGATGCCCAACCGCTGAGCCTCGCCAGCCGGGCAGGTCCTCATTCACTCATCTGTAAGAGTAGCTGCTCTGGGAAGGAAGATTTACCTGCAGTTTGGGACGTGCTGAATTTAACCGTAGGGGAATTGCCCTCTGGTCAGTGTGGATGTGAGCTTTTAGTGAAGGAAATAGGACAGAATTAGTGTTTATGTGGGAAACATCAGCCGTTAGCACAGAGGTGCCGAAGAGGCAGACATGGAGAAACTGCACCGAAGTGAACACAGGAAAGAAGAACTGCGGGCCCAGAGCGGGAACCTGTGGCACCCCTGAGTTTAGGGGACAAGAAGGAAGAACCTTTGAAGGGAGCAGGAAGCTGGAGTCGCGCAGGATGAGCGCCAGGAGACCAGCGTCCCTGGGCAGTGGAAGGCTCGCTGGAGGGGGCAGCAGCGTCCAGTGCAGCAGAGAGCGCCTCCGTTCTCGCCAGGGAAGTTAGAGATCAGCCTGTGTGTAGTGAATTGTCTCCGTCCTGTGCAGCAGTGAGGGGATAAGTGCCTGCATTGCATTAAAACTTCCTTCATTAATAACCCTTCACGATGCTTCAGTTTCAGTGGAATAAACTTACCGAGCTCTCGCTCACTGGGTGTTTAGTGTAAGCAAAACATACGACACTTGATGTTTATACTGTGGCTCTTGCTACCCTCTTTTTCAGGAATACAACCAGTTCTGTATAATCCAGGAAGCATCCAAAGCAAGTGAAGTTTTAGAAAATTTGACTCAGGGAAAGATGTGCTTAGTTCCTGGTAAAACGAGGAAGTTTTTATTTAAATTTGTTGCAAAAACTGAAGATGTGGGAAAGAAAATTGAGGTTAGTTACGACATTTATTTAAGAGATATTTTAAATGATGAAAGTATATGTGTATGTCAGAAAAAAATTCAAATAATACAGAAGTTGATTAAGTAAAAAATGAAAACCTGCCCTTTGGACTAGCCAAGGGAAACCATTCATACTGGTTGGGAGGTTTCCTTTCACTGAGAACATACTGTGCATAGTGTTCAGCAGTTGGCTCTTTTACTTAATAGTGCATATTAGGCATAATTTCCTGTAGGCACATAAGACTAACCTTATTTCTTAATGGTGGCATAATCCCTTAGGGAATTTTAAATAAAATATATGTATTATATGATAGAGCAATTATGTTTTGTGTAATATGACAATTCTAAAGATTTACATCATTTTGATGTGTAAACATTGCTAATTGCGTATTTTTAAAGAAAAAAATGAAGATGCATATTTTAAAGGATTCATGTAATTTAGTTAATCAAAATGCCTTTCAGACATGGATGATGAAAGGGATGGTTTTATTGAGCATAAACTGGAGCAAAACTATGTGGGTTTAAATCCCGGCTCTCCAGCTTCCCAGCATGTAGCCCTAGGGTGTTCCTTGACCTCTCTGTTCTGTTTATTCATCTTTAAAATGGGGTAGGGACAGTACCTACCTCCTGGTGTGTCTTGAGGATAAAATGAGTTAGGTAATGTAAATTGCTTGGATTGTATTAGCATATGGTAAGTGCTTACTAAGTATGGGCTTTCCATGGTTTGAGTGAGAATGGTTGGCTGATGTACACTTGGGACTGTTTCTAAGACAGAAACATGACTGTAGTACCAGTACTCCCTTAACAATTTCTGTGAGTCTGTTGGATTTATTATTAACCAGTGTCCAGAGATTTTGCTTATTCATTTAAGAAAGTCTTCATGATTTTCACTAAATCCCTAATTACATATTTTTACAAGGTACCTAAGGAAGCTTATCAGGTTTAAATAGTAATTAGTAATACTATTTTGAGTACGTTTGTTGAAGGATTTAGTTGAAAGGAGCATTTATTCGATTAGTAAAGAATTTCGTTGCTAATACAGATGTCTTCAGGAAAAATGTGTGGAATTAGGTTATGAGTATATTAATAGTTATCAAAACATTCATTTATTTCTCCCAGCAGCCCCTGATTGAGCATCTCTTATGTCAGGCACTATGCTAGATGCTAAAATCATAAGTCAGCATCCTAGCTAAGAAGTGAAGTTATTTCTGTTTAAAGGCAAAGAAGTTGAAACCTAGCATGCTGTTAGCCAATGTCCCAGCTCAGTGATGGCCAGGATAGGACTCTAACCACAGGTGTTTGTTTTTGTTGTTTTATTGATTTTGAGAGAGGAAGGGGGAGGGGAGGCAAGGAGAGAGAAACTGATATAAACCATCAGTTGGTTCGGTTGCACCCCAACCACCAGGGATCGAACCTGCAACCTGGGTATGTGCCCTGACTGGGAATCGAAGCTGCCCCTTCTGGTGTGCAGGACTCAGCTCCAACCAGCAGAGCCACCCTGCCAGGGCAGCAGGTGCTCTGACTTCTCTCATACACTGCGTTTCTAGATAAATTTCATAGACCAGCAGTTTCTGATGTAATTTGTTGAGAGGGGCTGGTGACAAGAATGAGTCGCCACATCTGACAGACCTGCTTTTCTTAGATCACCTCCGTGGATCTTGTCCTGGGCCACGAGAACGGAAGGTGCGTGGTTTTAAACTGGCAGGGCGGAGGAGGAGATGCCGCTTCATCCCAGGAAGCCTTGCAGGCCTCGCGCTCTTTCAAGAGACGGCCCAGGCTCCCCGACAATGAGGTCCACTGGGACAGTGTCCTCATTCAGGCCAACACAATGTAAGTGGAGCTTGCCAGGCAGATTGCAAAGGTCATCGCATTTCTCTTTAATTCTTTGTGTGAATCATTTGTTTTTAAAACAATCAGTTACCTAGCTACGGTTTTTCCCCAAAGGATCATTTCCAGAGTTCCAAACATTTCGGTACATCTGCGACATGACCCTCCTGCCCTGACAAATGAAATGTATTGTTTGGTTGTGACTGTTCAGTCCCACGAAAAGACCCAAATCCGAGACGTGAAGCTCACCGCTGGTTTAAAACCCGGTAAGCATTCCTTTTAAATTTGGTCGGTATCAGTGCAACATAAACACCCTTGGCGTCGATTCCAGGAAGTTTGTTTAAAATATGGTCATGATATAGTTCACTTTACACAGTATTATTAGGATAACATTTGATTCTCTGGATGTTAAAACACCACTGTTAATACTTTTAGGACAGGATGCCAATTTAACTCAGAAAACGCAGGTGACTCTCCACGGAACAGAATTGTGCGACGAGTCCTGCCCGGCCTTGCTCACTGACATTCCCGTTGGAGACCTCCGTCCAGGGGAGCAGGTAAACCTGGTCAGCAGTGACCGGAGAGAAAATGTGTGCGCTTGCAGTATAAATATGTAGTGAGTCTTAGAGCATTTTCATAGCATTTGCTGAGACTAAAAAAGTGATTTAACTACTGCACATTTTATGCCATTTGACACGTTTAAATGTGTAAAATGTCTTCAGTTTTTATACAAGGGATTTTAGAACAAACAACTCTAATACAGAGAATTAGTTGCCTGATAGAATAACTAAATAATACTAAGATCTATACAACACTAGGTTTGTAACTTCATGAAATCATCTTTCAGTCCACTTTTGTCCACACCAACCACACAGACTTCTGGGGGAGCTGGGAGTGAAGATGGAGATGGAGTAGCAGTGACCCACTCTGACACTGGCAGGGACAGTAAATTATATAAGGTGGGCGTCTGGAATGGTGATTAAATTAAACACTTTCATTTTGTGACAGCTGGAAAAAACGCTATACGTCCGCTGTGGAACGGTGGGCTCCAGAATGTTTCTTGTGTATGTGTCTTACCTGATCAACACTACTATTGAAGACAAAGAAATCGTTTGCAAGTGTCACAAGGTATTGCTTTTCGTGGGTCCTCCAAGAAGCATCATGTGGAGTATCTTATGTTATTTTAGTTTACTTCTCAAATAAGCAGTTAGGTGCTTATAGTCTATTTCAGATTTTAATTAAAATCTGTTGATTTTTTTAATCATATATGTTTATTATAAACAACATAATAAGGCAGTCATTGCTGAAACAATAGCAGATACGCTGGCATGACTTCTCACATGAGAATCAACAGGTTTGAGGTCTCATGAAGATAAGTCTTGAGATTTTAAACCTCTCTGCTCTTTACAGAGTCACACATTGGATAAAATCTGTAAGTTGGCTTATATGTAGAAGGTTTTGGAGGAAGGGAGGCTTCCTTTTATGAAGTATTTTTTCTATTACAGTAGGTCCTTAAAGTCGATTTGTTAAGAAGAGAGTGAAAATAGGGAAGCTGTCAGTCATAGTTCACAGCTCAGCAGCTGCTCTTGACTCTTTGGAATTCTTACTGGTCTAGTTTCTATTTATAGAGATTTGGGGGGCATTTTTTTAAATATAGATTTAACTATGTTTTATGTAATGCTTGTATACTCTTTTATTAATGGAAAATTGTGATTTTTAGTATCTCCTTAGTCCTGGCAGCCCTGTTGTCTCAGCATTTTTTTAGAAATTGGGTCCTCAGCCCAGCAACAGAGTTGGCCCAGGAATCTGGGGATTTGTAGTTTGGTTGCTGCGGAGTCTGGGCAGTGGGCTCTTTAAAAGTCACCGGGAGGCAAGACCATCCTAAGAGAATTAGAGGAGTATTTTCTAAGAGAATTAGGAGTAATTCCCAAGTGGGAGGGAGGAAGGCATGGAATATTCCGTCAAAAGTTTCACCCAGAACGTTTTTCAATCATTTTCATCTCACGGCACATAAATTAATTGCTAAAATTCTGCACCCAACAAAAAACATATTTTATGTCAGTCTGACAAAAATAGGTATGATTTTGATTCATTCACGCCAGACTGCTTTTGTTGTGTTGGCTCTTGTCATTTTTTTATTTGACAAGGGAAAAGAGGTCGGGGCCCGTGCGTAAATAGTCGGGTATAGCATATTTTAAAAATTTATGCCACACACCAATTGAAAATCGCTGACCTAGGTTGATGTAATAAAAAGAACCCTGGGGATGGTGAGTTAGGAGCTAAGGGTGCTAATTTCAGCACTGCCTCCTAATTTGGGAACTCGGGCGAGCCCTGCAACTTCTTTTGGCCTCGGTTGCCCTAGCTGTAAAATAAGAATGTTAGAGTTCTCTGCAGCGTTAGGTCCTAAGCTGTGAATGACATTTCTGCTTCTGATCGTGAAGTTTATGGAAAGGTACCTTTTGAAAATTGCTTGCTGCCCAGTAACTGTCCTGGGTCAGCTAAAGCAGGGTGCTCGCTGTTGCACCCAAACAGCATCCTCTCCTCAGACACTGTTTGAGGCACATGCCCTTCTCTAGAGAAGACAGTGTGTGTGCTCTTCTCTGAGCCAGTCTGTTCCCAAGGTGCCATTAAGGGACACAGTTCTGGGAGATAGAAGTAGGTGTTACACAAAAATGAGTTAATTGGTCAAATATGTTTGGAAAATACTGGGTTGAAAGGTGTTAGGTATTTTTACTTCAGGACTTAGCACAGCATTCAGTCTGCATTGAGAATCTTCACAAAAGGCTATAGTGTTTGCCTTTTAAAAATTATTTCACCAAGAAGCACTGTTCTCATGGAGCATCTTATAGGTCCTAGTGTTATTTGGAGACATTTTTGGAAATTTAAATGTAGATGCTTTTCCCTTCACTGGATTAGATCTCATTTTACCTCTCTTGCGTCTGCTTTGCAGACCATCTGGGACGTCAAGGTGGCCACCTGAGCTGGTCTCTGAGTTGCTTCTTCATCTCCATAGGTCTTTTCTGTGGGGAAGCACCAAGGCCTCAGGCTTTAGGTGCACTGAACCACTGTGCACTGTTTTCTTTTTCCCAGCACTGAAATAAGCAGATCATATATCCTACCTATTACACTTTATGAAAGCTCAATGATATTGAAAGAGGAAATACCTTAAAGCATATAATAATAGTGTTTTAGGCACATCGTTAAGTGCTTTCTGTGTATTATCTCATTTAATTATCGTAACAACTCTGTGAGGATTGTGAAGCTGACTTAAGAAGATCATGTAACCTTCTCAAAGTCACGTCGCTATGTCTGAGGTGTTCATAGCGAGTATGTGTCCAGCCAGGACTGAAATCCAGATCCATCTGGCATTACAACCTGAGTTTTTAACCAGCATGACTTTTTTAAAGATTTCTAACAACAGGGCAGGTTGCTTGTTTCCAGAGATCCAATAATCCCCGTTTTTTGAACAGACTCTATAGAGGAGATGTGGCACGTTGGTTAAGGTCAGGCTCCAGGGTCAGGTTTGGCTCAGTTTCTGCCTTTGTCACTCACTAGCTGTGTGACAACTTGATCTTCAGGTGGTGGTAACGATGGCATCTGTTCCCTTGAGTCATGAGCATTACATAATACGTAAGTAGTGATTATAACACTGGGCCATATTACGTTATCGTTGTTTTACTCACCTTAAGTCTGTGTGACACAAGAAGACCCAGGTTCTGTGCCTGGCACCACTGGCTTTGTGGCCTAAGGCCAGTCACTTACAGTCTTTCTAAACCTCTGGTGCCTCTCCTGTAAAGTGGTGGCAGTGCCTGCCCTGCCCACTGTCACTGGTCCTGAGAGAAATAACGTGTGAGAAAGCATTTTGCTGTGTGATGATAATACCATAAGATAATTTATTAGGAAAAGTACTCTGGTCTCTCTACATGGATTCTTACAGATATCAAAGGGAAAACCCTAGCTTCTTACTAAATAAATTGGGACTGTTTATTTAGGTGGTTTTATATGCCTTCTGTTTTTAAACTTCATGTATTGCTGCAATTTAGAAACCGTTGCATGTACTTTTTGTACCTGCAGGATGAAACTGTGACAATAGAAACCGTCTTTCCATTCGATGTCTCAGTTAAATTTGTTTCTACAAAGGTATGTCCTGTGAAGCCTGTTGAAATCATTTGGGTTATAGAAATTAACAGAAAAATTCGGATGGATTGATGTAGTTCCTGACAGACCTTTTGTCTTCATTCGTGACAGTTTGAGCACTTGGAAAGGGTCTATGCTGACATCCCCTTTCTGCTGATGACAGACCTTTTAAGTGCCTCTCCCTGGGCCCTCACGATTGTCTCCAGCTCGCTCCAGCTCGCTCCCTCTATGACGTCCGTGGATCAGCTGGAGTCCCAGGTGGACCAAGGTGAGAATGTGGATCACCCCACTTAATTAGCAGAAGACCGTTAGGTGTGTGCCTGTGTGTGTGTCTGTGTGTGTGTGTGTGTGTGTGCCTTCCTACTCTGTGTCACCAGCCTCATAGTAGTTAATCAGTGTTTATTAAATTAATGAATTGTGTCTAGTTTTTAAGATAATAGAAAGAAGGTTTTATTATCTTAAAATTCTCAAGCTAAGAAGTCCTAAACTCAAGGTGTTAGCAGGGCTGCCAGTCTTCAGGCTCCAGGGAAGTCCTTCCCTTTGCCTTTTCCAGTTTCTGGGGCCACTTGGCTCCCTTGGCTTGTGGCTCCTCCCTCCACCTTGAAAGCCAGCTGTGCAAGGTCCTCAGCTCTCTGCGACCTCTGTTTCCAAGGTCGAATCTCCTCAGACTCCTCCTTGCCCGTCCCTCTCTTACAGCCCTTGTGATTACATTGGGCCCAACTAGATAACGCAGTATAACCTCCCTGCTTTAAGGCCCTTATCTTCATCTCGCCTGTGAAGTCCTTTTCTCCACTCGGGGTAACATTCAAAGGTTCTGCTTGCCAAAGGGTAGGGAGGGCTTGGTTTAGACAAGCATTTATCTAGTTTTCAGGAGATTTACCATGTGGATATTTTTGGGGAGGTGACATTATTCTGTCTGCCACCTCCGAGAACACCAGCATTGGTGCACTGTAAAGTTTGTGTTTGACACACTGAAAATCACAACTTTCTTAGATCATAAATTTGACCCTAATGTTATTTGTTAAGAGAGTTTGTGGTCATTTTGGTTAACTTCTTAGGATTAGGGAGGACTTCGGAGAAATTTAATATGAACATCCCAGGTTTTTTTAAAAAAGCTATTCTAAGAGATTTGAATTGATGTGGGACTGACTTACTGGGCTACATGATCATTTCCCAGTCCTTAAAAATTACTTAAAAGTAGTTAATCCAAGTAAAGATTGCCTCAGCTTTTTTCCTTTTCATTTCTGGTATCTACCTACAATGATAACCATTAATTTATCACAACCTTCTTCGTTGGAAAACCATAAAAACAGTTGCTTAGTGTTTAGGACTTGGTTGTTATTCTCACGTTTTGCTCGTAGATTTGCTGAAGTTGGCATTAGATGGGCACTATTGCCAGCTGGCATTTAAAGGAGCAATACTGCTTGCCAAAGGGTAGGGAGGGCTTGGTTTAGACAAGCATTTATCTAGTTATCAGGAGATTTACCATAAAATTGGCAAGAGAAACACATCCTTGCACAAGAGGTAAGATGAGTGTTTATCTAGTTATCAGGAGATTAATATTAAAATTGGCAAGAGGAACGCATCCTTGCACGAGAGGTGAGTAGCCACATTGGGCAGTAATGAGGCCCTATATGGTGTAGTTCCATTTTGGTGATCTCAACAGTATGTGTTCACTCAGAGGAACTCAGGAGTTTTCTGGAGTGACATTTTGAGTACCGTAAGGGATAACTAACATGATGTGTTCATTCCCTATTGTGAAGTGTTTCCTCTGACATGAACTAATTTGGAGAAATAAAAATAATCACCAAAGGATATGATTCTTACCCCAGACTTCTCCCTTTCATCAGTCCCCAGAGGAATGTGTCACAGGTGCCTCACCTGCTTTTATTATAATGGAATGTTGCTGGATTAGGAAAAACGCTGCATAGGACTTTGTGACCTGGAAGAAGTCATTTAACTCTGTGAGCCTTAGTGTCTAGGTCTATAAGTGATGTATAACAAGGTGTCCTTTTCTTGCTCTTTTACTCGAATGTGAGCTCTCCCACACGTGAGCCAGTGCACAGGATTGTAAGGCTCTTGCCTGTAGTTGTCTTGCAGACGGGAGAGAGCGCCAGCGAGTGCTTCTGTCTCCGGTGCCCGTCTGTGGGGAATGTGGAAGGTGGAGTAGCGACGGGACATTATATCATCTCCTGGAAGAGGTAAGTTACGTCAACGCTCTTTTCTTCACTGTCTGTGCTGTTCTGGTGCCTTTGCTGTTTGTCAGTGTCATTAATAGTTGGGAGCTTCTGTCTTGGAGAGGAGACAAAGCCACATGCTATCATATACATTTGTCATATACACAAAGATTAAAAAGGACAGCTACCCTTTTCATTGGTGTTTTGTCACAATATTCTGATGAAATCTTAGCCAAACCAATTTTGATGATTGGACCATTAAAACATTAAGAGAAACTGCCCTTATTTGATTAACAGGACTGTCTCCATGGAATACCCAAGGGACTCAAAAGTTATTAGAAGTGTAAGCGTTTCAGCAAGGTCGCTGGGTATAGCATCAGTGTACAGGATCAGTTGGATTTCTACCTGTCAGAAATAACCTGGAGGCAATGTACTTTTGAAATAGGTATCATTTACATAACAAAAAATACAAGTTACGTAGCAATATATTTAACAGAAGATGTACAGCACCTTTATGGAAAGGATTATAAAACTTTAAAAATTTTTAACATTCAAGATGCTCCAGAAGAACTGAGCAGGGGTCCTTGCCCTTCTAAATTCCAAGGTTTACTGCAAAGCTACTGCAGTCATCCCTGTGGTGTTGCTTAGGTGATGCAAATAAACCAGTGGAACAGAAGAGAGAGTCTAAAATAAATCCATAGACCCACACGGATGGAAATTCTGTTTCACAGAGGTGGCCTTTTAGATCAGTGGGGAAAGGATGGACTCTTTTATAGCTGGTGGTGAACAGTTGGGTATCCATTTGGGGAAAATTGGGCCTCTGCTGTACACTGCATATAAACATTAATTTCAAGTGTATTAAAATCCTAATTATAAAAAACAAATTTTATTACTTTTAGTAGAAAAATAAAAGACTCATGTTATCATTTCAGAGAAGGGAAGAATTCTTTTAAATAAGGCAAAAAGTATAAGCCACTAAAATTGATGAATCGGATTTCTTAAAATGAACATTTTCAATTTATTTAAAAAATTGTAAAGAAAGTTGAAAAGACAAAATACAAACTGGAGAGTTATTAGCAGTATGTAACTGACAAAAGATTAGAGTTCGTATCAAGAACTTGTACGAATTATATGTCTTCGTGGGCTGGGAGGTAGAGGCGTGATAGCCCCTGCTAGATTCTTGCTATGGCACAGCTACTTCATAAATCACAAAACAGCGAATAACATTTATTAAAAGTCAGAAAGGAAAGTGTGTACTTTTATTTTAAAAAATAACCTGTCTTGCTTTTGCTTACTTCTGAATTTACATGTCGATGTTTAATGTATATGTTTACAGGAGTTAAAACAGCATGAAGGCGCTGATGATCCGTCTTCCGCGTAGTGGCACAGAGCCGTTCCTTAGCGGCAAGGCTAGCTGCCCTCGCTGCTGCTTTCGCTCTGGGCCGTTCGCCCCCGGCCCCCGCTCTTGGCCTCCGGGTGCAGACCCTTCCTAGGGCCCCCGCACTCGAGGAGCCGCCCTGCGGTCCTGCCCTGACTGGTGCCGGGCAGAGCGTCGGGCAGTTTTGTGCCGTCGCTTCATCTCAGGGGCGTTGGAGGCCACTACCTTCACCCGCAGTAAAATGCTTTCAGTTCCTCAGTTCTCCTGTGTACTTGTCCAGATATAAGGTGCACTTGGGAGTGGCCTGGGGCTCCTCCGGGAACTGTCCTCAGTGTGACCAAGTGCTTGCTTCACAGTGTAAGTCACCCCATGACCACCTACAGCGAGGACATTTTACCCCCAGGCGCCGTGTCGAGTGCTGTGCTGAGGTGTAGTCGGTTGACATCCTGGTGTGACTCCTCATTCCCTCACCCGGGACCAAGCAGCAGCCTTGGCATAACGTCGTTAATTGATGTTAATTGAATCATTCAAAACAAAAATGCGATTCCAGAAGCTCTGCTTTACAGCCACTTGCAGTAAAGAAGTTTTAGGAGATGGATAACTGTATTTCCTTTGCAACTGGTTGGTGAATATGCACGTTCCCAGTTTTGATGTACTGACTTCCCACGTGAAATGTGACTGTGACACCTTTCCCCGCAGGACCTCGGCCATGGACGGCATCCCCGTCATCAGCACCGTCATCACCCTGCCACATGTGGTCGTGGAGAACATTCCTCTGCATGTTAACGCAGGTAACGGCATGCGGGTCTCACTGCATGACAAGAATCCAGGAGGAGTATTGGTTTTAGTGTCTAAGATCTTTAAAAACTATTAGGAAAAACGCCCGGCATTTACAGAAGTCAGCTGTGACCAGTCTTGTCATCTGTACCTCTACACACTCCTCTCACCCCCATTATTCTGAAGCAGATCCAGATAGAATTTGATCTCTACACATTTTAGTGTGTATCTTTAACATTAGTGGTGGTTTTTCTAAATGTAATCCTAATACCATTATCATGACTTTACAGATTGGCAGAATTGTCTTAATGTTATCAAATTCCAGTGTTGAAATTTCCCTAGTTGACTCTGAATGTTTTTTAGTTTGTCCTAAGGGCTCTGCTTTGCAGTGGATATTTTTGAAGTCTGTAGGCAGACCCTCTCCCCCACTCCATTGCCATCGCCGCCTCTCCCACCTTCACTTCCCCCCCTTCCTTGCTGTTTACTTGTTGAAGAAACAGAGTCATTCGTCTTAACAGAGTTTGCTACAGTCTGGATTTTGCTGATTGCATTGTATTATTTTAAGTGGTGTTTCTCTGTCCTATAAATAGATCTGTAGGTGTGGTCAGATTCAGGTTTAAGTTTTGGGCAGGAATACTTCACAGTTGGTGGTATGTGCTTCCATCCAGATGTACATACTGTCTGTCATTCCTTTTTGAACCATGGTTGATACTTTGGGAAACTTTTTGTAGATTTAAAAATTATTCCTAAAATACAATTCATCTCCTGATAGTCTAATGCCCTTTCTAAGTCAATCCATTTTTGAAGGAAACTCTGATTCTTCTTGGCCTATTTTATCATAGTCCCATGGCTCTTGTTCAGTCAGAACATTTTCTTATTTAGCAAGAATGCAGTAATATCATTAATTTAAATAAGCCCATGTCTTATACAATGAGATGTACAAAAAGAACCCATAAGTGGTGAGCTCTATTTTTTAACCAAGAGCATTATATTGTCTTTCTCTGCAGATCTGCCATCATTTGGACGTGTCAGAGAATCATTACCCGTCAGGTACCACCTGCAGAATAAGACTAACTTGGTTCAAGACGTGGAGATTTCCGTGGAGCCCAGTGACGCCTTCATGTTCTCAGGTCTTAAACAGGTAGAGGTCATATCTCGTTGGGTTGCTTATGTAGACGCCAAGCGTGGCCAGGAAGTGGAGAGCTATGTACATGGCTGATAAGACTGACTGTGGTCCCCATGATTTTGATAGTAGTGAATTTTTAGCTACTTTTATAGATTAAGTATACTTGTTATAGAGGTGGAATAAATGGGCAAACCTTTCCACATTGAGATCACACGTATAGGTTCTTTCTCCTTAAAAACAAGAGTTTACAAATCCTTGGGCTATATAGTAGAATTCCTGAAAATCTTAGATTTCCCTTTAATTACTAGTGAGTTTGTATGTATATGTGTGTGTGTGTATGTCTTTTAATTTGAGGCTTGGAGGCATGACTACCTGCATTAAAAGCCTAATTCTTTTCAGCACTATCAGTGAAGTTTTTCAGAGATTTTGTCGTCAGTATACTTTTTATTAATGAGGGCATAATTAGAGGAACAGACCTGTCAGCACCTAGAGGTACCTACCCTGACTAGTCATCTGTGCTGTGCGTGTGCTGAGGCTGTGTTTGTTGTTAAATGAGAAATAGAACTATGTATGAAGCGTACTGTAAGTTCATACCCTAATTTAAACTTACATATTAAGTGTAATCTTAGCTCTGATATGTTGGTGCACACGTGCATGTATTACCTGTGGCACGCCATGTACCTACATGCACACTGCAAGTGAGTAAGCTTTTCTTGAGTGTCTTGATCTTTTCACATATTAACCTATAAATAATTGGATAATGTAAGATACCAGAATCTTACCAGTTTGTGTTCTTTTCTAAAGTATTGTTAAAAATTTCCAAACATCTTCCTGACCCCCCCGAAGTTACTCACCTTACCACAAAGGTAAAATCCCTAAAAGAAAACATAAGAAACAACTAATTTTCTTACGTTGACATCAAGTTTACAAAGATCCTTTTCTACAAATTATCCTGTGACATTTTGTGACTGTAAAATCTACCTGGTCTACACTGCAGAATTTATTGCCCTGTCGAGTGTTCTCTTTTTTAAGCTGGTACAGTTGCCTTTTAGACCTTGGTAGAATAGAAATTATGCGCCTTTTTTTATAATGTATTATCTGTGTGGTCCTTGCCTTTTGCTAATTCAGCTCTACACTTTGGGATCTGGGAAGATGGAATAGGAGAGAGAGAATGTTTCCTCAGAAAGATTTGGGTATCCAGTCCTTTGTAAATAGTCCAAGGTAACAACATAGATGTTGCAAGTCTTTATATTTGAATATTTATAACATTTATGATTTAGATTCGGTTACGTATCCTACCTGGCACCGAACAGGAAATGTTATACAACTTCTATCCTCTCATGGCTGGATACCAGCAGCTGCCATCTCTCAACATCAGCTTGCTGAGATTTCCTAACTTCACAAACCAGCTGCTCAGGCGTTTCATACCTACCAGTATTTTTGTAAAGGTAAGGCTTAGAAATGTTCTGCCTTCTAAATTTACTGTCTTGAAAACAAACAAAAGATGTTTTTTCATATAAACATCATTAAACAATAATTTGACATTGATAGTTTTGACTTTTATTGTATGAATTATGCAATATTGCTATTCATTTCTATAAAGTTACTGCATTTTTTACAGAATCTGATTTCAGAGGTTTTTATTTCCTTAGGTAAATGATTTACCTTTACAGTATCCTTAAACATGTTTTTCCTCTGGCTTTAGTAAAGTATGCTTTTAAGTTATAGTTAGTTTGTAACTAATTTTTAATCAAAATGGGTTTTCTAAATATGATCGCTGAACTTAACTAACTCCCATTTTAACTGTGTAATACCGGATTTGGGTCTTTTTTTTCTTTCCTCTTTTTATTAAATTTATTGGGGTGACATTGGTTAATAAAATTATATAGGTTGGGTCTTTTCTGAAAATGACCATCTATTGGAAGCTATACTCTGGGTGAGTGTTCTGATGTTTTCCACTGATACCCTTTCGAGGTTCCTGCAATAAAAGACTGTGTAGCTGGTCATAGGTGTGAGAGTGAATTGACTGCACAGGGGTCCATTCAGCTCCAGCTTCTCTTCCCATCAGCCACCGTGATGCCTGAAGTCAGAGCTGGCCCCCAGATAGTCCTGGTGTTCAGTAGCTCGGGTGTTCATGAGTATATATGGTCCTCTTTTTCTTTCCGTCAGTGTCTGTTTGGGATGGCAGGCGACATTGCACACTCTTTCCTACTGTGTCTTGTTTCTGTTAGCTGGGATTTGGTACATTATAAATGTTTCTGTTTATGTATTATTCTGGCTTTTATTCTAGACTTATAGAATAAGTCTCTTGCATGTGCAGAAAAATCACTTTATTAACCCTTCCAACAACAAAAAACACACCAGAAAGGCTAAACTCATGATTTTAGATCTCATGTCTAGAAACAGTGGCTTTAAACAGTTTTAGATTCACAGCAAAACTGAGAGGAAGTTAGAGATTTTCCATCTACCCTCTGCCCCCAACAATAGCTTTATACACATTTCCACCTGGTCACATTCTAACGTCATTTTCCATTGTGTTCCTCACTGTCATGTCTGAGCTCACCTGCAGGGGAGATGCCATGGCTGGGGTGGGGGGCACTGGGGGATGGGTGGTGTCTGAGGTCATTTTAGCTGTTTGAGCTTCTGAAATTTGCTGTTTCTAAACTCAGAAGTGTGTCCTTTACATCCGTGTGAAAGTGTGTTCATGTGCAGATGTGGCTGCATACTCGCTGTCAAGCATAGCTCAGTTGATGAGAGAGTTGAGTGTATTGAGAGCTCGGGACTCTGGTTTCATCATTTAGTCTCCTTCCTTTCCGTGTAGCACTCAGACCCCCAGACCCCATCCCAGCTTGTGTTGGTTTAGGCTTCAGATTTTCTTCCATAGGAAGCCTCTTTTAGGCAGAGTTAAGTCCATAAGGAAAGGCTCCAGGAAAATAAACATTCATGCATTTTAACATAATTAACATTTCCTTTTCTAACTGCTGTGGTCTTTTCTCTAAATACAAGTACCGCCTTCAGGTAACTTGACTGCTGCCAGATAAACTGACTGGATTTCTCAGAACCAGCTCCTTTGTCAGTTGGGGAGACATTAAATTGCTTTAGCTGTCACTCTAGGAACAGCGCGTGAGGGTTGCCCTTTTCCTACCTACGAACAATCATTGACTAGGATTTTACATCCCATCCCACCTTCATTAAACTTTAGGGCTGTGCTACTGCAGTATGGGAGCCACTAACAGTGTGGCTACTGAGATTTGAACTAAATTAATTAAAACTTTTATTTATTTAGAAGTTAGTTACTCAGTTGCACTAGCCACATTTTAGGTACTGAGTAGCTAGCTGCCTGCACTAGTGGACCCCACTTTGGACAGCACTGAATCAGAGCACCTCTGTCATCTCAGGTTTTGGACAGTGCTGTCCTGGAGCAAGGTTGGCTCAGGATTTTTCTTCCTTTTAAAATATTTCAGTTTTCTGGTTGCACAGTGTACTTGTCTGCTGCCCTGTTTGTAAAGCTGTGTTTGGTAGGATTTAACCAGGTTGAGCCACTGTCCTGTTTCTAGGGCTGAGCATCCTCCATCAGTAAAAAAAGTTAACATGAAGTGTAAAAGACCAGGCACCACTTCTTTCATTCGTTCTGTTCCTGCCTTGAATGTCAGAGACCTGACTTACACATGCATGAATACACATAGACATGCAGCCACACATGCATGCACGCAAGGTACATGCATGCACACATGCATACATGTAAAACCACATATGCGTACATACTATCACACATGGATACACACAGCCACTCGTGCACGTGCATACAACCACACATGCATACATATGAACGCACACATACAACCACAGACACATGCATACGCACAACTACGCAGCAACCAAACTGGCAGCAGGAGTGCCCCCTTCATGGCAGGAGTCCTGCAGGAATCCTTCTGCTTCTAGCACAGCAGTGGCTTTTGGGGCGACATTGTAACTGCTCTTTTTCAAGTTCTGAGCACCCTCTTGTGCTTTCCCTGCAGAGATCTGCTAATGTCCATCTGTGGAATAAAATAAAATTTTTAGCTAGTCTATTCTGGGTGTTGCTAACCTGTCAGAAGTTTCACACCAGTTGCGACGCCTGTTATTCTTTCTGTCTCACTCTCCTGCTGTGATGTTTTACATTTTTTCCATCAGTGGCCTTTGAGAAGGGGGCATTCTGTCTCTATCTGCTGCTGTGCCCTTGCAGTGTTCATTGTTAGGCAGCCTAGAGCTCTTGGTGAATTCCTTTTTCTCAAACGGGATATTGGGAGACCTTGAATCCTCTAGGAACTGGTTGGTCAAAGCGGAGACACAGGAGGGCCCTGTGCAAGAGAGAATGCAGCTCAGCACTTATGAGCAGTAGTGACTAGGTTCCCTTCCACCTGCCCCGGGTAACAGATTGGCAGTAGCTGCTGGACACCAGGTTAGGACAGAAGTAGTGGCTGAAGTGGCGCAGCAAGGGCAGGTGTGTGACTGGCTGGTGGTGCCTGCATGGGGGCCAGGGAACGGGTCCTGGGCACGCAGTTGCCGCACCCAGGTTCAAGTGAAGAAAGAAGCCGAGGTGAAAGGTGAATAAAGTTTATTTTGATGCATGCACGTGCTTATACTGTTTTTGTGAGCAGTTCTAAGAATTTCAGAACTTTTCTTTTTTTAAAATTTTATTTTTGTTTAAAATATTACAGATGTCCCTTTTTCTCCCCAATGACCCATTCCACCCATCCCATCCCTCTCCCCAGTCCCTCTCCCCACCATTGTCGGTGTCCTTGGGTTGTGCATATATGCATATAAATTCTTTGGTTACTCTCTCCCCCTCCCCCAACCGCCGTCCTCCATCCCTCTGACATTCGTCAGTCTGATCCATGCTTCCATGTCATTGAATCTATTCTGTTCATCAGTTTATTAAGTTCTTTAGATTCCACGTATAAGCGAAATCAGGTGATGTTTGTCTTTCGCTGCCTGGCTTATTTCGCTTAGCATAATATTCTCCAGGTCCATCCATACTGTCCCGAAGGGTACGAGATCCTTCTTCTTTACAGCTGCGTAGTATTCC